TAACACACTCAAAGATGTTATGACCCGCGAAACGGCGACTTACAAACCACGCTTGTTAATCACCTACTAAGGTAAACCATCATTAAACAACCCACAAAAATTACTAAACAGGTAGTCGTAAGTTCGCTGGCTGCAGGTGAGCGCTGGCCCTCAAATACAAACAATCTGGCCCTTTGTTTTTTCTCCGAAACAGCTTTTATACCTATGTTTCAATCGGTGCTTGAAAAAAAAGTAAAATCTACAAAATCACTTTTTTTCCAAGATGGCATGTCTCAAAGAGCCGCAAAGTGCCAAAGCGTCACAGAGCCGCGAAGTCTCAAAGCGCCAAGAAGCGCCAAAGCGTCAAAGAGCCGCAAAGCGCAAAAGGGCCAAGAGGCACCAAAGCATCAAGAGCGCCAAGCGCCAAAGCGCCAAAGCGTCAAAGAGCCGCAAAGCGCCAAAGGGCCAAGAGGCACCAAAGCATCAAGAGCGCCAAGCGCCAAAGCGCCAAAGCGCCAAAGCGCCAAAGCATCCAAGCGTTCAGGCTTTGAGGCTTTGAGGCTTTGAGGCGTCGGAAAAGCGTCAAGAAGCGCCAAAGTGTGCAAGAACCGCCAAGCGCCAAAGCGCTAAAGCGCCACAGCATCCAAGTGTTCAGGCTTTGAGGCTTTGAGGCTTTGAGGCGCCGGAAAAGCGTCAAGAAGCGCCAAAGCCTGAAAGAGCCGCCAAGCGCCAAAGCGCCAAAGCGCCAAAGCATCCAAGCGTTCAGGCTTTGAGGCTTTGAGGCTTTGAAGCGTGAGGCGCCAAAGAGGCTTTGCAGCTTTGAGGCTTTGAGGCTTTGAGGCTTTGAGGCGTGAGGCGCCAGAGAGGCTTTGGAGCTTTGAGGCTTTGAGGCGTGAGGCGCCAAAGAGGCTTTGCAGCTTTGAGGCTTTGAAGCTTTGAGGCGTGAAGCGCCAAAGAGGCTTTGCAGCTTTGAGGCTTGGCAAACCTTAGCGGGCCTGATCCCCCATACTCTGAGAGAAACATTGAAACGAAAGAAGGACTTCGATTGAAAGCCAGGAGGAGTCTAACGAAAGAGAGAGGTTGCAAACGAATGTGAGGAGTCGAACGAAACAAGACAGGGCTTGAACGAAAGAGGACAGGCTCTGACGGAAGAGGACAGACTCTGACGGAAGAAGGTAGGCTTCAACGGAAGAGGATAGACCCGAACGGAAGACTCTTAGCGGAAGACTCTTGTAACGGAAAGGATGGATCCGAACGGAACAGGACAGGCCGCTAGCCTAGCAGAAGAGAATAGACTCTAACGATCCCCCTTGGAATTTTTTAGGGGTACCTGTCCAACGTCAACGTTTGCGATTTTATCGTGGACGTTGGTGTCAGCAATTCTATAGAGATTTCATGTTGAAAACAGCATTGGGTACTAGTAAGCTAAGAATCTTGTCACATCTGTGAGGGAACATCTACCAACAAGGCTATCAGATAAACATCATCATCATCATCATCAGCATCATCATCATCATCATCATCATCATTTGAGCCACGAAAAAAACATCAATGTATTGTTTATGTAAGGGAGTTATACTACATCACTTTCGCGAAACAGAAATGCTGGGTCGCGAAAGATCGCGAAAGTAATTTGCTTCGCGAAAGGTCGCGAAAGAGAAGTTTAAGATATTTCAAATTGTTTGTTTTGTTCAAAATGGCATGTCTCAGAGACGTTTCGAAGCTGACAGGCAACAAGAGGCTGAGAGGTGTCAAGAAGCTTAGAAGCGTTTAGAGGCTTAGAGGCGTTTAGAGGCTTCGAGGCGTTTAGGCTTAGAGGCGTTTAGAGGCTTAGAGGCTTAGAGGCGTTTAGAGGCTTAGAGGCTTAGAGGCGTTTAGAGGCTTAGAGGCGTTTAGAGGCTTAGAGGCTTAGAGGCTTAGAGGCGTTTAGAGGCTTAGAGGCGTTTAGAGGCTTAGAGGCTTAGAGGCGTTTAGAGGCTTAGAGGCGTTTAGGCTTAGAGGCGTTTAGAGGTTTAGAGGCTTAGGGGCGTTTAGAGGCTTAGAGGCGTTTAGAGGCTTAGAGGCTTAGAGGCGTTTAGAGGCTTAGAGGCGTTTAGAGGCTTAGAGGCTTAGAGGCGTTTAGAGGCTTAGAGGCTTAGAGGCGTTTAGAGGCTTAGAGGCGTTTAGAGGCTTAGAGGCTTAGAGGCGTTTAGAGGCTTAGAGGCGTTTAGAGGCTTAGAGGCGTTTAGAGGCTTAGAGGCGTTTAGAGGCTTAGAGGCGTTTAGAGGCTTAGAGGCGTTTAGAGGCTTAGAGGCGTTTAGAGGCTTAGAGGCGTTTAGAGGCTTAGAGGCGTTTAGAGGCTTAGAGGCTTAGAGAGGCTTAGAGGCTTAGAGGCGTTTAGAGGCTTAGAGGCGTTTAGAGGCTTAGAGGCTTAGAGGCGTTTAGAGGCTTAGAGGCGTTTAGAGGCTTAGAGGCTTAGAGGCGTTTAGAGGCTTAGAGGCGTTTAGAGGCTTAGAGGCTTAGAGGCGTTTAGAGGCTTAGAGGCTTAGAGGCGTTTAGAGGCTTAGAGGCTTACGGGCTGCCTCCGGACATTAGAGACTTAGAGGCTTAGAGGCTTACAGGCTGCCTCCGGACATTAGAGGCTTAGAGGCTTACAGGCTGCCTCCAGACATTAGAGGCTTAGAGGCTTACAGGCTGCCTCCAGACATTAGAGGCTTAGAGGCTTAGAGGCTGGCGACGAACTGGAACCCCCCCTCCCGCTACGATGCACCATTAAACATACTAAACCACCATTAAACATACTAAACCACCATTAAACATACTAAACCACCATTAAACATACTAAACCACCATTAAACATACTAAACCACCATTAAACATACTAAACCACCATTAAACATACTAAACCACCATTAAACATACTAAACCACCATTAAACATACTAAACCACCATGAAACATACTAAACCACCATGAAACATACTAAACCACCATGAAACATACTAAACCACCATTAAACCACCATTCAACCACGATCCCATGCCTTCCTCAGGCGGCCGCTCGCGCCGCCTCCGTTGCCACGGTCGCCAACGACGCGTCGTCGCCTCCGACTCCGCGGGCGGAAAAAATCGCCGGCGCCTTGTCGGTGACGGTGCTCTGCGACGGCGCGGAGCCGGTGGATTTCAAGATGAAGGCGACCACAGCACTGGAGACCTGGCGGACCTGGCAGATTTCTGGTTGGTGGTGACTGGAACATGACTGGAACATTGGTAAAATGTATGGGATAATGATGGTTAATAGATGGTTAATAATCACTGGTTGGTGGTGACTGGAACCATGGAATTTTGAATGACTTCCATTTCATATATGGGATGTCATCCTTCCCATTGACGAACTCCAATATTTTTCAGAGGGGTAGGTTGAAACCACCAACCAGATTTGTGGATTTTGTGGTGGTTTTAGAACGATGTTTGGGATGATCCCTGAGATTTGGGTGAGATTTGGGATCCCTCTGGTTATGTCAACAGTTTGCTATTGAACATAGCCCAGTTGAAATTTCGTTGATTTGCCCATTAAAAAATGGTGATTTTCCATAGCTGTGTTAGTTTACCAGAGGGTAAACTTAATATGTGTTCCTATGTTCTGTTTCAAAGATGTTGAATGGTTGCATATTTGGGGATGATCTCTCAGGATGATCACATTTTGGTTACAATGGGTGTGGGTCAAAACCGGAGGTGTAGCATTTTGAGGATGGAAAATCCATGATTTTCCAACCTTAATGATGGTTCATTGATATTCATTGGGGGTGCAGCATTTTGCAGACGATTTTTCCGTTTGGAAAACCCATGGGGTTTCCTTCCATCTCTACGCGGATTTGCGCAAATCTAAGGAGAAGATGATGGTGGCATGGAGGAACTGTTTTTTTTTCGGCAACGGAAAGCTCCGAATTGTTGGTTGGGATGATGGTTAGGATTGCTTGGTACAGTTCATTAATGTTCATTAAGGAAATACTTCATATTAATCCCTATGACTTGTATGATTTGTCATAAGGAAATAAAATATGGGAAAATTAGTGTTCATTAATGTTCATTAATGTGCATTATACACCGTGGTCAATTGTATAATACTACACAATTGATGTTAACAGATTCATTAATGTTACTTATACAGTCTTATACACCACAAGATGTTTTTCCCCTTCTGCCCGGGGGCGTATGGAGGAGATGCTGGCATCTAGGGGATCCTTTTAAAGGTTTGCCTTCCAAGAAATATTGCCATAGATTCGATGCAAGCGCATCATCCCTCAGAATTTTCAGGTTTCGAAGTCTTCCATGTACCCTCTGGTTATGACTAACGTAGCCATGGTATAGATGGCCCATAGAAATAGATGATTTCCCATTAAAACCTCCATTTATGAGGGGTTTTCCATGGCTATGTTAAATAACCAGATGGTATATTATTGGAATCGCCATTGGGAGAAAATCCAGAGATCCCAGAAGATTTTTTGACATCCCAAGTTGGTTTCAACCACATGGGACGATGATCCTCAATGACGTTCCATGACTTTCAGCTGGCGCAACAGATCTCAACCGCGCAGCAAATCACAGTGACCCCATGGATTTCGTAGATAATTCACCATTATTATTATATAACCATTATTTCCCTATGAAAAAAACAATAAAAATCATAGGGATTAATATGAAGATATCCATCATATTCCATATATTTCCCATATTTTATGGTTATCTCAAGTTATCTCCATATGGAAATGACAAATTCCGTTGAAGATAACCCTCTGGTAATGACTAACATAGCTATTGAAAATGGTGATTTTATGTGATTTTCCATCGTTTTTTCTATGTTTCCCAGAGGCTACCCCTCAAAAAACCTGGGGATTTTGAGAGGAAACAATGCCAGCTCCCAGCGGACACTGCGGTGGACTTCCACGACGGCCATGATTTGCTGAGCGCCAAGGATACACCGCGCAGCCGCGGCTGGCTGGAGCGCAATGAGGTGCGGAAGTTTTTCAGACAAGTCGATGGTTCAAAGTTTGGTTTTCAATGGTTTATATGGTTTTCAGATGTTTTAGGCTGCTGAAGACTATCTGAACTTCAGAAATTTCATGGATTTGAGGAGGAAAAAAACATGAAAAACTTACCGGTGCTAAACGTAGGGAATTTTCGGGAATGATCCACTGGCTAACTATCAATTTCATCGTCCCAGCAACCCCCATTCCCAACCCATCCATTCCCTACGTTTAGCACCAGTAAGAACATGAAAAAACATGAAAAACACCATGGAATCCAGGAATTGGGGCTGAACAGCTGAGGTGATCATCGTCAAAGCATCTACGGAGCCTCGCCAGCTGTGCTTGGCGCGGCGCGGTTTTTTTTCCCCCTTTGGGAATCAAACGTGGCAATTAAACATCGATGAGCATCGTTAAGTTGAATCTAGAAATTTGGTGTTCAATAAGTAGAAAAAACACATGATAACCTAAAGTTCAAACCAGTATATGTAGAAATTTGTGTTTTAAATGGTGTTTTAATGTGCAAAATCGTCGGCCCTGGATTTAGTACTGATGGATTGATGCCATTTCGGAGCATCATCTTTTGCATATATGATCATATCAGATTCCTGTATAACCACTAATTTAAGTCTTTGTGTAGGGTTCTGTCATTTGGGAAAAGATGGGAAAAGCTCGTTTCTGAGGGAAACCTAATTTCCTATAAATGGAAATGAACCGAATGAATATGGGGGGATTCATTTTTTTGATATTCCTGATAAAATCGTTCGATAATTCAGACAGGGTTTCTGCAAATCATGGTGATCTTAGGGGTGGTTTATTAGCTTTACCCGTGGTTTAACACGTGAAAGTATCAACGAATTATGACAAATCTACTTTATTGTAAACTAGCTCTAAGTGAGATATCTTTATCTACAGATCAACTTTGATTGATATATTGATATTAGATTATTAGATATTGATATGTTAACTCAGTCTGTTCTTCACCATCTCAACCACCTGAGATTTCGCAAAGGAGGCGCTGCTTTCAGCGCCCATGCCGCCCGCTGCGCCTGCTGCGCCTGCTGTGGCGCCGGCAGCGACAGCGCCTGAAGGTGGCTGAATAGGATCACTTCATGGGGATTCTTAGGGTATTAGCATGGTTGACCTACCAATTTTTCATGGGGATTGTAAGGATTTGACCATAGAAATGACCTATCGTTAAATGGGTGAAACTCACAGAGGTTTTACCTGGGGATTTGGATGTGGGAGCCTCAATAAGTAGTGATATAGGGACCCTGTAGGCTGAGGGCTTCATCATCACCTCACCTTAAGGGAGAATCTGTTGTCAAGTTCCGACAGGCTGATGGTAACTGGGACCATCTGGGACCCCTGACAGACCCCTCAGTTGACATTTTTGGCCAGCCACATGTCGTGATGCACCATCTCCTCAGTTTCCATCTGAATCGACATCTCAAAATCCTTGATATACCCTCTCGCATCCTCTTGCAATTTAACGTAGCTATGGAAGCCATGGCCCAGTTGAAAGTTCGTTGATTTACCCAGCTTCAAAATCCACCATTTGAAGATCAGATTTGATGATGGCCGCTCTTTGCGAACTGGAAAGATCCACCATCTTTTAGCTGGGCAAATCAACCAAATTTCAATGGGCAATTTTCCCGCTATGTAACAAATTACCAGAGGGTAGAATCCCTTGAAATCCCTTGAAACATCATCTGGTAGGTGGTTTGGAACATGACTTTTGTTTTCCATTTCATATATGGGATGTCATCCTTCCCATTGACGAACTCATATTTTTCAAGATGGTTAAAACATGTTAAAACTACCAACCACGGATGTTATAGCTATATCTATATATAATCCCATCATAGAACCATATATAACCACTATTATTGGCGTATAATCACTATGATTGAAATCCCTTGAAAAACATCATGGATCACCTGCATGTTGATTCCCATTTGGACTTTTGTCCTCGCCAGGTGCTCCGAAAAAAATCTCGCTGCAGGTGGTTGCAACCGACCAGGAGATCCCGGTGGGAGAAAAAAAAGGGCTACGGAACCGGCGGCGATTCCTTAGCCATATACTCCATGTATGGTAGCCTCTGGTAAAGATACAAAAAGCTATGGAAGCCATGGCCATAGAAATAGTGAGTTTTCCCATTAAACATGGTGATTTTCCATAGTTTTTTGTATGTTTACCAAAAGGGTATGTTTACCTACAAAACTGGGTGATTTATGTTGGGCAAATGTTGGTAAATATTCCAGCACCATGGAGCATATGGGATACAGAGGATTGATGAGCTGATTTTCATAGTGGTTCTATGGATTTGTTTAATAGAATCTCTAAGCTGATTGGTGAGTTTTATAAGGGTTTATAGTGGTTCTATGGGATTTAGATTTGGTTATATATGATCTGTTAGGATACATGCATTTCTGCCATGTTTTCGTTTTTCTATGAGTTTGATCAGAAAGACCTTCCATTTGCAGGGTGCATGTGATTCTGTGTGGTGTTTGAAACAGGGTTTTGTATGGATCTGTTTAACTTCTGACCTACCGACCGAGGGATGCACATCGAATCGAACCATCCGACCTTTGTACCAGTATGTTATTGACATTTATTGACTATTACTTACTATTGTTAACACCCCCATCCCCCAAAAAATCATTCGCATCCCATGGCAACTGAGGTTCTACTCGGTTCTACCATATCTATCCGAATCTATCCATATCTAGGGTCAGCCACGGTGACAAGCCGTCATTGATTCGAATCCATTAGTGGCTGCCTGCTAGGGCCAATTATTGTGAGAACAAAGTACCACAAAATCTCATGGTTTCTCATCATGTGGACACACCAATATCATATTATATCATATTGGTGGTCATATTTCCCACTGTCCAATGATATTCCGATATTCCCATCATATCCCTGTTCAATTCCAAATGTTACTTAGGTAAGTCATGTTGAAACACTGCGTTCTTGGTGAGTCAGACATCTCTCCCACTGGTTTCTAAAAAAAACCAGGACGGTACCCACACCGTGACCTTCAAGTTACGTCCCGATTCGCCACTGGAGAAGATGATGAATGCCTGGTGCAAGAACATGCAGGTGCCTTTTCGGGGGCCTGCAATGTACATAATCTGGTTGGTGGTTTGGAGCATTTTTTATTTCCATAATATATGGGAATAATCAACTGACTAATATTTTTCAGAGGGGGTTGAAACCACCAACTAGTAATAATTTGATAATCCCATCCCCCCCATGAGCCGCATGGGCATGGATCAAAAATGAACTAGCCCAATAATGAAGCCATGGCCATCTCAGGAACCGAAAAAATTGGAGGTACCGATTCCATATATGTTTGGCCTATGTTTTAGGCCTATGTAAGGGAATATCCCCACAAAATATGGCCTTATATGGCACAGTACCTCCATTTTAGGATCCTGAAATTCCCATAATTGGATGGTAAAAGAAGGAAACCTAGACTTAAATCTGTGGTCCCCGAAGTCATGAATTATATTAAGACCCATACTAAAATGAATACCCTCTGGTAATCAAACGTGGCAATGGAACATCTCCCCAAAAAAACAGTTGATTTTCCGGTTCAAACCTCCATTTATAGGGGATTTCCAATTGCTATGTTTGATTACGGGAGGATAGATCAGACCATATTCTAACTTCAAAGATGGTTTCAATGTCTCGCTATTTATTGCTCCAATCACGGCTTGTGGCTGTGCTGATAACCCGGTAATTACTCCAGCTTTGTGTACAATGATTACTGGTTGGTGGTTTCAAACATGAATTTTATTTTCCATAATATATGGGATAATCCTTCCCATTGACATTTTATATTTTTCGAGATGGTTATTGCACCACCAACCAGATTACTATTTAGTAACAATTTAGTACATGTTTTTCCGCTAAAATCGCAAATTTTAACGGTGATTAGAAAAAACATTGGGATGGCTGACAGCCACAGATGTGGCATCAGGGTCGTGAACATTGGGCAGGTAGACCCTTCGGCGGCGGTTTTCGCAGCTTGGCAGGCGTTTTTAGGTGTGGATGGATCCAGATGGTAGTTGTTAGTTGGCCGGGGATCCCCATGGAAATTTCCAAGATTTGAAGGGGTAACTCAAGTTAGCCCATTTTCAAACGGTAGAGGGTTACTTGAGTTACCCCCCTAAATTTCCATGTTGTTGGCGGGGCAAGCCTCCCAAGTACTCCACCAAGGTTTGCCCACTGTGTGGGGCAGACCATTGGGGCACCCGGCCCACATACAGTGTAATTTAATGTGTAACCTGGTACAGGATCTTCATCATCCATGGTATTCATGTGATTTCCCCAATGGGGGCTTCCAGGTTTTTTCACCCATATCCAGTTGAGGTTTTCCTAATCCATGTTATTCTGGGGTTATCCAGTACCCATGACGGATCCATGGTGCTGATATATATATATATATATGCTAACATTTACCATCAATATACCCCCAATGTTATATAGCATATATACCAGCACCATGGATCCGTCATGGGGTATGTTGCAACCATTAAAAATGACCCAGAAACTCATCTGAGTTTTCGACTCCTACAATGTGGGGCCCCCCAGTTATAAGATGGTTTATAAACCCCATTAACTATAGTTATAAGTACCATAAACCATAGTTATTGGAGTTATTTGCACCAACTTAGCTATCGTGGCCGGGGGCCCCACTTTGTAAGACTCGATGATCGGAAGATGCCACAAAAAGCATCAGATCAGATGCCAAGGAGTACCGTGGTCAGTTGCTACGAGCGAATGACACCCTGCAGCACTTGGGCTACGATGGGAAGGATGACACCCTGCCCGTGATTACGGCGAGACCCAATGGACCCAATGGCCCCAATGGCCAGGCCACGGAGCGATCGGGATTTCCTAGGGCCAAAGTGAATCCCCAACCGGATAGAAAGTTGATTGGTGGCTATAACTGGATAGAAGTGAACCAGCCAAAAAGATCCAAAAAGGCCAAAGATGAGCATTTTTTGACGACCAAAGATTGACCATGAGTGGATCACCAGAGGGTAATAGGATGTTTCCTAGGCCATATGATTTGCCATGCATGGAGTGCGTGATGATACTTCCAAATAGCATACCACATCTTACAAAACCCATCCATCTATTGTTTTTGTTGGTGTAGTATTGGCATTGGTGGTTGGATACCATGGTTTGGTTTGGCTGCCTGCATCAACCTCAAGGGATTGACACTAGATGTCGTTGTGTCACCATATTCATCGAGCTGCAGTGGGACTCTCCCCACTTTAACCACGTCTGTCTTGCTGGTGGTGTTTTTTTTGTTGGATGACATGTTCTGGTTGGTGGTTTGGAACGTGAATTTTATGACTTTCCCTATGTTGGGAATGTCATCATCCCAACTGACGAACTCATATTTTTCAGAGGGGTAGGTTGAAACCACCAACCAGTTATGTTATATTTATATATAATCCCATCATATATAACCACTGTGATTGGCATTATAACTAACCACCAGCCGTTGTGTTTTCATTGACTTCATCATGTTCCGCCATGGCAGGGAACAGTGACAACCGTGACCCCAGTGGCCGCAGCTCCAGCAGCTCCGGCAGCCCCGGCAGCTCCGGCAGCCCCGGCAGCCCCGGCAGCCCCGGCAGCAGCATCCAGCGATGAATTGATTTTAGTGCACATCATCTCCATTGGCGAGGCGAACTGGGCTTCGGTGGATGATTTCTGAAGCTTTTGGAGATGAGCGATAAAAAATGGCTAGCTGGACATTTAAAATGTAAAAGAGACATATTTGCCCCATGTTCATCCATGTTCTATGTAATAATTAGTTAAAACATAGTGCCCGTTTCGCTTCTACCTATCACTAGTGAGGCATCATGGCAAAACTCTGGCACAGATAAACCTTTGTATGGGCAGCAAACACCAAGTATTGACCGACACCTCACTGAACCGGGACATGGTTGAGACATATGATCTAAATATTAAGGTGGTAGCTTTGGGTAATCAAGCACGGCCATGGTAAATCAGGGATTGCCGGAGGGCAAAATCAGACTTAGCAAAACCACCGGCGTTTTTGGTCAACATCAGAGACCGCATTGCCCCGCAGCCCGACCTTGACCTGCGAAGCCAGGATGGACGAAACGTTTTGGACTTCAAGATGAAGCCCAGGACACCTTTCAAGACAGCCTTGGAGGCATGGTGTGACCATCACGGCATTCCGCAGGCGCCTTGGGGTCACATGTTGCAGCGAGGTTTGAAAGCCATGGACAATAGATGTGGTGTTTGTCAATATCACTGTCCAATCCTCATGTCATCCAACCCATACTTTCCGAATATAACATGAAATGGGTTAAACATGGTTCAAAGATGTTCAAAGCGGAAAAAAAAAACATTGCGGAAATCCAACTACATACTCCCCATAAACTGATCTTTTCATCAATTTTCCATTAAGCTATATTCCTAAACCCATCAATCATCATCAATCCATTAAATCGTCCATGGAAAATCCCTATGACATCATCAAACACCAGTTTTCTCGTTGAATCGTCCTCAAAATTCCCATCAAAATTCCCATGAAATTCCAGAGCTCACCTTTTTTCCTCGCAGGACCAGGTGCTCTTCGAATTCCAAGGTGCTCCGCTGTTGCCATCGAAGTCCCCTGCAGAATGCGGCTGGCAGAGCGCCTTTGGCACCTTGGAGATCGAAGCACGACCCGTGGGAGGAGATGGGGACGGAATGTTTGCCGGGAAAAGCGGTGTCAAAACATGATGAAACGGACATCAAATGGTGGAAAACCATGGGAAAATCTAGGAAAAATGCTGGGAAAACCACAGGAAAATGCTGGGAATACGCGGGGGATTTGCTGGTGAGAAAACCCATGGTGAAACCGAATGGATTTTTCATGATAAAACCATTTAAGAAACGTGGCAAACAAACATCACAGTCACATGTGGATCCCTTGAGTTGGTCACATGGTCAACCAGTTGTGGCTGTCCAGAGGGCGCTTTAAGGTTCAGAAAGTCAGATTATTCAGGAAAAAACGCGTTTGATAGTAACAACAGTAAAGAATAGTATGTAAAGAATAGTAAACACAGTCATGAGAGAGAGAGATAGAATCAGAGTTGTTCTTTGAGCACAGAGGTTTTCTAAAAGAAACATCATGTCATAGCTTATGTACAGTATATAGTTATAGCATGTTATAGCAATGACAGTGAAATTGGCATTGCACCCTGGGAGGAGTGGATGATGAGGAAGCCAAGGCCGCGACAGGAGCGATTTCTTTCTTTTCGGGTTCAGTGATGTATCCCCAGGCGTCGGGGATACCCTCTGTAGCTTGTTTCATGTTGTTTCAATCGTCATGTCACCCATGACGAATCCATGGTGCTGGTATAATCTGGTATATTAATGCTAACATTGATTGGGGGTACCCTCTGGTAATTTAACATAGCTATTGAAAATGGCCATAGAAATAGTGAGTTTTCCCATGAAAAATGGTGGATCTTTCCATAGCTACGTAAACGTTTACCAGAGGGTTTTTGTTGATGGGATCTATGGCACGCCTTTTTTTTGGCAGCACCGCACCGTGGATCCGTCATGGGTCTTCAAGTCATCCCTAATGACTTGGATGATAACTGGGGTACCACTTGGCTGCCAGATATCCTCTGGTTATGTCAAAAAATATAGTGAATATAGGGAAAATGGGGGGAATATAGTGGAAAATCATCTATAAATCATGGAATACCCTCTGGTTATTTAACAAATAGCTATTGAAGCCATGGCCCAGTCGAAATCGTTGATTTACCCAGCTACAAAATGCTGGATCTTTCCAGTTCGCAAAATGTTAACGTTTACCAGAGGCTAATTGATTGCTATAGGGAAATATACTAACCGGATTTAATGGGGATTCTGATGGTGCCACTTATGCCCTATTTCTTGCAAGTTGCGCACAGTGGGAAATCGGAGGATTGGAAGATCCTGTTCTCTGAAGGAACATCATCCGGTTGGTGGTGACTGGAACCATGGAATTGTTCATGACTTTCCATATATTTCCATATACATTGGGAATGTCATCATCCCAACTGACTCACTCATTTTTCAGAGGGCTAGGTGGCTCAACCACCAACCAGTTATGTTATATCTATATTTTTCATCCCATCATATATAACCACTATGATTGGCATTATAACTAACCACCAACCGTTGTGTTTTCATAGCCATGATTGGCCGCTGGGATTCTCCACCGAACCTTCCTTCAGGAGATGAGAAGATCGATGTCCAGGTCCTGGCGCTCACAGACACCGGAACAGCCACATCTTCAAATTTCAAAATGAAAGTGACTTCGTTCTTTGAGAAGATGATGAAAGCATGGTGTAAATTTCAAGGTGTTCCTGAATCTATGGCTGATTTCGAATTCAATGGCCGGACATTATCGCCCAAAGACACGCCCGCGGCATGCTCATTTTCAGCAAGAGATGGTGTCATGAGGATCACTGCCAAACCAAAAGAGGAAACAGCGGCAACAACTGCCTCTGCAGAAGTGTCCCAACATGCAAGCCCACCAATAGCTGAGAACAGACGACAAGAGAGCGTGCAAGAGCAGAATAGCACACAACAAAGTGAAAGCGATGAAAAGGTGTCCATTCAAGTTGTTGCACATGCTGATGGCGGTGACAATGTCATAGATTTCAAGATGAAGTCCAGTTCAAGATTGGATAAGATGATGAAGGCATGGTGCAAGTGCAACGGCATCCCTGAATCAGATGCAGTCTTTGAGTTCAATGGCCGATTGCTACTACCAGAAGACACACCTGCATCCTGTTCATGGTCTTCACGCGATGGTGTCATGAGGATCACTGCCAAACCAAAAGAGGACACAGCGGCAACAACTGCCTCTGCAGAAGTGTCCCAACATGCAAGGCCACCAGTAGCTGAACACAGACAACAAGAGCAGAGTGTGCAAGAACAGAATAGCACACAACCAAGCGAAGGCGATGAAAAGGTGTCCATTCAAGTTGTTGCCCATGCTGATGGCGGCGACAATGTGATAGATTTCAAGTTGAAGTCCAGTTCAAGATTGGATAAGATGATGAAGGCATGGTGCAAGTGCAACGGCATCCCTGAATCAGATGCAGTCTTTGAGTTCAATGGCCGATTGCTACTACCAGAAGACACGCCTGCATCCTGTTCATGGTCTTCACGCGATGGTGTCATGAGGATCACTGCCAAACCCAAAGAGGAAACAGCGGCAACAACTGCCTCTGCAGAAGTGTCCCAACATGCAAGCCCACCAATGCCTGAGAACGGACGACAAGAGAGCGTGCAAGAGCAGAATAGCACACAACCAAGCGAAGACGATGAAAAGGTGTCCATTCAAGTTGTTGCCCATGCTGATGGCGGCGACAATGTGACAGATTTCAAGATGAAGTCCAGTTCAAGATTGGATAAGATGATGAAGGCATGGTGCAAGTGCAACGGCATCCCCGAATCCGATGCAGTCTTTGAGTTCAATGGCCGATTGCTACTACCAGAAGACACACCTGCATCCTGTTCATGGTCTTCACGCGATGGTGTCATGAGGATCACTGCCAAACCCAAAGAGGAAACAGCGGCAACAACTGCCTCTGCAGAAGTGTCCCAACATGCAAGCCCACCAATGCCTGAGAACAGACGACAAGAGAGCGTGCAAGAGCAGAATAGCACACAACCAAGCGCAGACGATGAAAAGGTGTCCATTCAAGTTGTTGCACATGCTGATGGCGGTGACAATGTCATAGATTTCAAGCTGAAGTCCAGTTCAAGATTGGATAAGATGATGAAGGCATGGTGCAAGTGCAACGGCATCCCTGAATCAGATGCAGTCTTTGAGTTCAATGGCCGATTGCTACTACCAGAAGACACACCTGCATCCTGTTCATGGTCTTCACGCGATGGTGTCATGAGGATCACTGCCAAACCAAAAGAGGAAACAGTGGCAACAACTGCCTCTGCAGAAGTGTCCCAACATGCAAGCCCACCAATGCCTGAGAACAGACGACAAGAGAGCGTGCAAGAGCAGAATAGCACACAACCAAGCGAAGGCGATGAAAAGGTGTCCATTCAAGTTGTTGCACATGCTGATGGCGGCGACAATGTGACAGATTTCAAGATGAAGTCCAGTTCAAGCTTCGAAAAGATGATGAAGGCATGGCGCAAAAACCACAGCATCCCTGAATCAGATGCAGTTTTTGAGTTCAATGGCCGAGAGCTATTACCAGAAGACACACCTGCATCCTGTTCATGGTCTTCACGCAATGGTGTCATGAGGATCACTGCCAAACCAAAAGAGGAAACAGCGGCAACGACTGCCTCTGCAGAAGTGTCCCAACATGCAAGCCCACCAATAGCTGAACACAGACGACAAGAGCAGAGCGTGCGAGATAAAACCCTTTCTTTACTGACTAAGGACGATGAAAAGGTTTCAATTCAAGTCGTTGCACGTGCCGCTGGTGGTGAGAATCTCGTAGATTTTAAGATGAAACCCACCTCAAAGTTCGACAAACTGATGAAAACATGGTGCAAAAGTAACTGCATTCCCGAATCAAATGCAGTCTTTGAGTTCAATGGCCGATTGCTACTACCAGAAGACACACCTGCATCCTGTTCATGGTCTTCACGCAATGGTGTCATGAGGATCACTGCCAAACCAAAAGAGGAAACAGCGGCAACAACTGCCTCTGCAGAAGTGTCCCAACATGCAAGCCCACCAATGGCTGAGAACAGACAACAAGAGCAGAGCGTGCAAGAGCAGAATAGCACACAACAAAGTGAAAGCGATGACAAAGTGTCCATTCAAGTTGTTGCACATGCTGATGGCGGTGACAATGTCATAGATTTCAAGCTGAAGTCCAGTTCAAGATTGGATAAGATGATGAAGGCATGGTGCAAGTGCAACGGCATCCCTGAATCAGATGCAGTCTTTGAGTTCAATGGCCGAGAGCTATTACCAGAAGAAACACCTGCATCCTGTTCATGGTCTTCACGCGATGGTGTCATGAGGATCACTGCCAAACCAAAAGAGGAAACAGCGGCAACAACTGCTTCACCCAGTGCCAAGGACCCTGCGGACCCTGCGGACCCTGCGGACCCTGCAGACTATGCGGATGCGGCCAGCAGCAAAGACGAGCCAGTTCAGGTTCAGGCCTGCGGTGCGGATTCCTACCGGTAACTGATCCCCTAAACAGGTGGTTTCACCCTGACCTTTGGGATCCACGTGCTTTCCCGCTGACATCTTGCTCCCACTCGAACTTTTGGGGGTGGATGACCCAAATATTAAAAAAAGTGTTGTCACATGTTTTGGCGCACGGCACGTTGTCGTTCTTGTTCCAAGCGGAGTTTCCCCATCCAACAACTGTCCTCCCCATCCAACAAGTTCGGGAGGTCTCTGCAGCGGGCGCCAACGGTGAGCAAGTGACCAACTTCAAACTGAAAATGACCACGAGCTTTGGAAAACTCATGAATCTGGATGGATCATAGCCATACCATTTTTGTGACACCCTTGGGAAATGACATATGGAAGATCATATGGAAATATATAGAAATATGGCATTTGAACATCATCTATGAATTTGGGTTTTGATATGTTTTGATGGGAAAATCCTCGAACTGAATGGGAAAATTGTCCAGCAAATCATCTGGGTAAATTATAACGACCTCACTACCTCACTGGAAATCATGATTAGTAAGGGGAATCATCCCCAAATGGCCTTAATTCAGATTAGTGAATTATTATAATTTGCCCAGAATCATGTAAGAGATGGGATTCGATTGAACTACTTCGCCGACTTCGTTCCACTAAAGCTCGAGCTTATTCATCTTACTCTGACATATTGGAGATGATCACACTATATCACATAATTCATTGTTATGTAAACACCGTTCTTAAGCAATCAATATATCATATATATAAGCTATATATAATTTATATAGAATTAACAACTAATAGAATGACAGATGATTTTTTGAACACGGCTCCATTTTTCAGTTTATTTCTTCGGAATCCTTGGAATTGCTGTGCCAAGGAATCGCTGGTGCTCCTACAATGGCGTTCCTCAGGAATCTGCGTGTTTTCAGTTCCAGGAGAAGGACGACGGCCCATGTTGGCCCAAAAACATGGTCAGTGGCACCTTTTTTAATCAGAGTGACTTCGGCCAAGCCAGACATTTCTGCAATCGATTTCATTTGCAGTCTATATAGTTTGATTCGATTAATCATATCATATTATAGTGGCCGGTTCACCTTTTTTTGACATGATCCAGCCGCATGCACACAACATTTCATAACATGTGTCTGTTTAGTCCAAAAATATCTTGTGCCAGATTGGTAGCACTGATGGCAACCCCAAAACAGATAGAAGATGGCACATAACTCTTCACTATTTTGGGGTTTTACTGAAGTTTTACTTGTCTATCTTTTCTCGGGGGTGCTAGATGCTTGGTGGGCCCCGCCATTAGACATCCCAAATGTTGGGTGCAAAGCATGCAGGGAGCTAATACTATGATAACCATCACAATTATGCTAGATATATCCATACAGATACACACACACACTTATATATCATGTGTATATATGTATATCATATAATATAATCATTATGTACTCGTACATATATATATATATATTATATTATATCATATTCTTTAATATCGGGAATTGGATGGAGTCATCAACTCACCTGTGGTTTCTGTCAGGAGATCACAGAGACTGACACGCTGCTGAGCATCGGAGCCCAAGGAACGGTTCTCAGCTGGGCGGCCGTCTTTTTCGTCATGTCTGTTATGGGATGGTTTGGAGATGTGGTTTACCCCCTGGTAAACATTCAAAAAGCTATGGAAAACCACCATTTTTAATGGGAAAACTCACTATTTCTATGGCCATGCTTAATAGCTATTTTGACATAACCAGAGGGTATGCTTCATTACCCATGACGGATCCTAACGGTGCTGCTATTTGTTTGGTGTGCCATGGATCCCATCAATATACCTCCTTTATGTTAGCATTAATATACCAGCACCATGGATCCGTCATGGGTTATGCTTCAGATTTGTGAATTGGAAATGGTTCAAGTGATTTTGTGAATTGCTGAAAATTCAGGTTTGTGAATTGAAATGATTTGCTCAGAACCGAGTGCTGAACTGCGCAGAGCTCTCTGTGAGATGCGGTTGTGAAGGTTTGCACATGAGCATACAAACAGATCCAATGCTTCGGAAGAGATGTTCCAACTTAAATAACGACCTATGATCTGAAGTTGAGGTTCTAACGTTGCATCTTCAAGTTCTGTCAATCATTCCGGCTGCCCAAATCAGGTCTCGCTTGCACGTACGGGTTTTTACCTTTTTTGACAGCACCAGAATTGGAAGAGTTACTGATGATTTGAGGGTTGCCCCCACGCCAAATGTTGACCCATGAGTTGCCTAATAAAAGACCAAGTCACCATCTGTGTGTGGTATAGAAAATGCCTAGAGTTACCACCAAAGTCAGCTAGAATGTAGCTAGATGATGCCAAAGACACGTAAAAAAAAACCGATGATATACCAAGAATGGTATAGATTTATTTAGCATTGCCACTTAGCACCAAAATCAAGGTTGCCATCGGAGGTGAATGATAGCCACAACGCGGGGAAAAACATTCTACCTCTTTCTTTGCACATTTTACCTCTCAAATGTATCTGGGGTGTTGCGAGCAAACCCAATCAATGGTCCTGGTATGAGGTTTAGAACCCGATTACGGTGGTAAACCCATGAAATCATCCAATTTCTAAATGTATAGAAAAATCAAATGGTAATTTATAATGAGGTCTAGAAAAATTATACTGGGGGTAATTTTACATCATCCAATTTCTAGGGCAGCCAATCATAGGCCTTCATTATTAAGGCATCCCTAATTATCCCTAAAATCATCATCATTTAAGGCTATAATAATGACAATAATCATCCCAGTGATCAATGGCCATTCCAGGATCCTAAATTGGAGGTACCTACCATATATAAGGCCTATGTAAGGGAATATCCCCACAAAATATGGCCTTATATGGTACAGTACCTCCAATTTAGGATCCTGGAATTCCCATTGAAGTGATGATGGTTTATTAATTATTGGGTTTACCACATCGATTGGCATCGTTCCTCCTAGATGAGGCCCTAGCGTCTCGATTCGCGTGGTTCCCCGTACCCACGCGGCAAATAACAAGCGCAATCTGAAGTCGCTGGGTCGAAATTTATGTCAAGGGCGATGCAGTTATGAGAATTGGTGGGATTCATCATCAAGAACAGTGTGCGCATTGGGAGTTTTCATGTGATTTTAATATACCTAAAATTGGTATACTTCTATGTGCCGTGGGAGATATGCATATATAGCAGTCCTGAACTGGAGTAGATAGAGTATGGAAATATCAACAAAACATCACACTAAAATTTACTTGATTAGGAATATGGTTGAAAATTCCATGTTCCATCTTCTTCAGGATGATTATATACCTATGCAAGAAATTTCCAGAAAGAAAAAAACAAATTCTGGTGAGAGCAAGAGAAGGAGATATACATATACAGAGAGAGAGAGAGAGCGAGAGGCAGAGAGGGAGAAACGTGTTTCAACATACTATAGCAATAATTACCCTCCAGTAAATTAACATAGACCCTGCCAGTCATCGGGGTTGGAAGACTAGTTTTGACTATAAATTGGTCATTTTCAGGGTCAACAAGTTAATTTCCCAGGGGGTACCCTCTGGTTATTTAACATAGCCATGGAAAATAGCCCATTTATAGATGGTTTACCTGTTAAAAATGGTGATTTTCCATGGCTATGTTAAATCATACTGCAAAAATCCCGATTTCGATGAACAATTGGCTGGTTTCAAAGACCCCCCAGGGATGATGGCGATCCGAGATCCGAACATCAATCAGAACGGGACTTATTAGGGAAGGTTTCATCATGGAGATGCTGTATGTTTTTTATATATATATATATATACTGGTTGGTGGTTTGGAACATTAATTTTATTTTTCCATATATTGGGAATAGTAATCCCAACTGACTAATATTTTTCAGAGGGGTTGAAACCACCAACCAGTATATATATATATACATATCCGGGTAATTTTTTGAATGACCTCACTGCTCTCCCTCACTGGGAATGATGGTTAGTAGGGGTAACTATCCCCAAATGACCGCAAGTTTCAGGCTAGTGAATTATTATAATTTACTCAGATATATATATATATGTATATATATATATGTATATATATATATATTGTGGCTGTTCCCACACGGCGCAACAGTTGTTTCCATGGCTTGAGAGATAGGGACAACCGGAATAACTGGATAACATGTGTCCAATTATCTTTATTATATACATATATACATGTATATCCCAAATAGTCTAGTATATATATATATAATTATATATATATACATATATGAACAAAGAGTTTACATGTTTTTTCCATTTTTTTCCCATATAAATAACACTTCTATCCTTGTCGTTGATTTATTGGTTTCTATCAGGCTTGTAGGATCCGAGGGGTTCGAGTGTTCGCTGAACCCAGTGGTTGACACTTTTCGAAGTTGTCGGAACTTCGAATGACATTCTGGTGCTTGCATGTTTTCATATATGGAGGTTTCCAATCCATGGGGGTACCCCGATAAAATCATCCATTCTAAATATTATAATATATTCTAATAGGGTTTTTCCATCAAAAAAACAAGCATTTTGGGGATCCACCATTTATGGAAACCGCCATATATTTTCATACATGTTTTCTGAAAGACCCGTATTGGCCCATACTTGACGAGGAACGCTGCTTCATTGGGTGACTTAATATAAATTCAACTCTGGGTTCCTGCAAAAATGTGAGCCCCAGAATAGCTTGACCGGAAAGTCTGAGGGCTGACCCCATATTAGGTGGGTAAATCCATGATTGGAAACTTATTTTCCCAACCAAACCAATCAAATTCATGAAGTGAGACTTGATTAAGAGATTCCGCTAAGTTGCTTGTAAGTTGCTTCGTGATGTTAACCGCTATAATTAACTTCAATTAGCTACAGGTGGATGGGTTGACAAACCAACATGTCACCCCCTTCACGTGAGGCGCAAGAGTCAGACGTCAGATGGCGCAGCGCCAGCTGCGAAACGTGCTGCCAACGCATACCAGCTCTTCAGCAAAGAGCGCAGGCGCGGACAGCGGCGCTTTTGGGCGGTATAAAACCATGATTCGGGATACAACCAACATACCCCTGGTATTGTTTCCTACTACAAAGGTGCAGTTTCGTGGTTGAAGCACCTCCAACATCATGGATGTCACATGGGCATTGCGAACCGAATAGGGGGTGTCTATGATTGACCGGGGTATAAACACAAGCAGCAACAATCTGATGATGTTTGAATCGCCCGTCCCAACAGAAAGTTAAGTGGCATCATCATCCAACGGAACTAAGGATGAAAGGTAGAAACATGTCAAACCACTAGTCACTCATGTTCAAAATCTGGGAATTTCAGGTACCTCGAATTATACATGGTAGGATATGGTAGGTAGCGTGCCTCCAATTTAGGTTCCTGATTCAGCGGATTCAGCTATTTTTTCCAACCAGTTTTGAGATGCTGATTCCCACTGACTCGTACCCTCTGGTAAACATACAAAAAACTATGGAAAATCACCATTTTTCATGGGAAAATCCACTATAACTGGCCATTGTCAATAGCTATGTTAGTCATAACCAGAGGGTATTGTTCGGAGTGGCTCAACCACCAGAAATGGCCCTGGCTCCAACGCCCCCTGCTGCTGTACTGATGAGCCATGAATAGAACCAACCTGCGCTGGGGTCGGAGCGGGGGCCGACATCTATATGCTTTTGCCATGTCATGTTCTGCAGGTTATAGTATAATTTAATAATGTTAACTATACAATGTGAGTTCAATATTATTTTCAATTTTAACTCAAAGTGTCATGTTCATGTGTCATCTTATGCACACCAATGCCATTCACAGGTTAATAAGGCAAAGTAGAATATCCATCAATGTTGCACACGTAGAGGCAAGCATGTCTCACCAAAAGAGCTTCGCATTTCGGGTTGCAATATTATTCAATGGATTGGCGAAGGATAGCCTACAGGGCACCATGGTTTTACGCCCACGTAAAGGTTTTTCCCTCAGTTTTTCAACCAATTCTCGGACACTAGATGCAGCTGCTCAACCGGTGCAAAATGAGATGAAGTCATGAAATAGGTAAAGCAGAGAACAAGATCGAGTATTTGTATCACAACCCTGACTGATCAGTTCCCAGAACCTCGTTAGTGGGGGCTATGATCAGTTACAAACCACATCTTGTGGGCACCGGGAGCATGGCCCCAGAGGCAAAGCTTGACCACTGAGCAGCCGGATCTCAAATTTGGCGAAGCTGCCAAGGCAGTTTCAGCGGGACTGTGAACCAAAAAAATGTGGAGTCTTGACAATGGAAAAACATGAGGAATGCACATATAAGTACAAAATCCAAGAAGTGAAATAGTTGCAAACTGATGTTTTTTCTATTTGTTCAAGGATTACTTTACTGTGTGCATCTGTATTTGTGATTATTTGTGTAGATGCTGGCCCATCTGTGCTTGTTCCAATGGTGAGAGCGCCAGAGTAAGCAGCTGAAGGTCAACACGAACTAGTACCATCATGTGGGGTTGCTAGGGCCTCTTTCTATATATTTGTTGACGGGCTTACGTGGATTTTCTGCAATCCTTAAAAAGCTTGGTTATGAATGGTTATGGTGAAATGAGCGTCAGATTAAAGCAGCTTGAATCAAGTTTATGATGGTTTATGTTCAATCAGCCAAAGCCAGGAGTTGAACACAACTTGACCCAGCTAAGATCAGATTGAATCCGCGAGCTATTCACATCTTCGCTCACCTTAAAGCAACTTCTGGCTGAAGTTGGATTCGTGTAAACTCAGCCAGCGAGTCAGCTGAAGTCGCTGAAATCTTTTTCAAAGTTGGCTTACCCTCAACCTTCACCCTCAATGGGCCAGATTCAATAAGTCAAAATACATCAAAATACCCGCAGGGATCAACTATTGATGGATTTTCATTTTCATCTAGTGATTATTATGCTTTAATAGATGAACCATATCAATATTTGATATGATTTAAGTCCCATGACATCATAATAAGTACCATATGTACCATTATCCATGCATGAGCTCTTGATGGATATATGATGGATAATATGATAAAGGTCGATATCCCATTATCAGGTCCCATTAATCCATTAAGTCCATTATGATCGCATGATGGGATAACCATAATAAATTCCCATTTAACGGCTATTATGCGTTTTTTTTTGAATAGCTATATGTGATCCATAAATGGCTCTGTTATAAGCCATTAAATCACCGTGTATTAAAGATTATTAAAATACATTAGCTTATTATTATAGGCTAAACAATGCCTGTTTATTATTAATACATCAATGGCTATAATAAGCAATGATCTATTGATGATCCATTAATAATAATGATAAACAATGATGTTTTAGCCTATGTTAGCCATTTTTATTAGTAGTGGTCCATTGATCTGGGTAAATTTCATCACGACCTCACTGTTCTCCCTCACTGGGAATGATGGTTAGTAAGGGAAATCATCCCAATATGGCCGCAAGATTCAGGTTAGTGAAATATTAATAAAGGGAAATCATCCCAATATGGCCTTAATTTAGGTTAGTGAAATATAATAATTTACCCAGATTGATGTTGTTTTATTAATACATCACCCATCATCACCGATCGCCAGATCATCTCGGCGGAGTGGAAAGCCCTGACCGACGACGAGCGGAGGTTTTTTTTTTTTCGAAACGACGCCGGTGATGTGGGGATTTCATCACTGAAGATGCTTCATAGTTGTTAAATGTTGTATGTGATGGGTATATGATGGGTATATGATGGGTATATGATTGGTTTATGCGGGATATAATGGGATATAATGGGATATAACCCCATCCTGCTAAGGAATCCTGCTATTAAACACCTATCCCGTGGTGAAGGGAGCTGTTCAGAGATCGTGGTATCCATAGTCGTGCCCCCGCCAAAAAAGTACTTATTCAATGAGGAACCACGGAGCTACTAAGAGTTTCCCAACCGCCATATGTTAGTGAAATAGAGGATTTCACCAGTAAAAATGGGGAAGGAAAAAGGCAAAACCCATCTAAAGTGAGGATTCATCGTTGAATGATGGGAATCGGATTATTCTTTGTTGGGTTAACTATCCCAGTTTATGAACAACTTTTCAAACTGGTAAATATCATGATGTATCTAGATTTAACCATCAATCATCAACAAAGATAGGGATATATAACCGGAAACACACCTTTTCATGGGATATTTGCAGGGTCAACCCTGAATGAGTATGTACGAAGCATCTAACTGTTATCCAAGATTGATTCAGGGTTCCACTGAGAGCTTACCCTCTAGCCTAGCGGATAGAATTAGATGTGGAAAGCCATGGGCAACCTGAAGGAATACGATCTGCACAGGGTGGGGTTCGCATATCTACCTTACTTCACTGGAGGAAATAGCCACCAGATATTCATAACTGCCTCAGCACATGCAGTTTTTAGATGTGTGGAGCCATTTTTTGACGCTGAAGAAGCTAGAAATTTCAGCGGAGCCTTGCAAGTATGCACTTCTTTTGTTGAGCAGCTGCTAAACCCCTATTGGTTGATGATTAGTTCGAGGATTACATTAATTACCCAAATCTACTGAATATATTTGGGATGAAGATTATCCAATAGAGAAATCCCTAGAAATTCCTATGAAATCCCTATAAAATCCTATAAATTCCTATAAACCAGTATTTCCATGACATTTCCATGACATTTCGGGATTTTGAACTCTGCTCAGTTGCGTTCTGAAGGCGCAACGCAGCCTGGTAGCCATGACAGCCAGGCCCTATCAGGAAATGGCCCAGAAAGCCAAGGAGAACGCACAGGCCACACAGGCGACACAGGGGACATGGAGGACATGGAGGATGCAGAGAAATAGAAAGCCCAAGTGAAGAAAGGTTTCAATTTTTTAAATTATATATTATTATTATATTATTGTTATTACTATTACTATTATATATAGATAGATAGATGTATATGTATAGATTGTATAGGTATTTAATAAATCTAGATTCTGTATCATATTATGTGTCTAGATTCTAGGTCTAAATATAATGACCTATAGGATTTGAAAAGGACAACAAGAATGACAAGACTTCTGCCCCAAGAATCATGGTGGGCGGCTATTTTTCCATGGTGAACATCCATAAATCCCAGCTCGAAATTTCTGTGAAAGGCCCAAAACGCCCTGGATGACTTGATCCATCTTGGCGCATAGGACGCTGGCGTTGACAGCGGCGGTGCCGGCAGCGCTGCTGACAGCGCTGACAGCAAACCTGTGGTCGACAAGACCTGTGGCTGCGTAGCGTTGGGCAGGTGTTGACGGAAAGATTAGAATGTTGCAACAAAGATGTTTTATGATGTTTTATGTTTTTTGATGATGTGTTATGATGTTTGTATATGTGTATAATATCTAGAGATATATATATATATATACAATATTTTTTATGATGCAACAAAGATCCTTTGGTTACTGCTTTCAAAGATGTTTTACGTTCAATTAGTCAATTGGACAGGATGATGGTCCCTAAATGACTGATATGTCTACCAACTAGCAATATGACAACCATCCCGACTTTGGTTTGCAATTGCGTTCGCTACAATCATATAAACAGACGTATCATACGGCATTAACAATTTATACATGGATGTTACTTTTTCCTCTATAAAATGGCAGGGGTCAACCCCCTCCATAAACCGTTTTATGTTATGGTTTTGGGGGGGTATAGCCCTGCCATTTTATAGACAATCTATTTGCTTTCATTTTATGGAAACCTTTTGGGGGGGTCAAGCCCTGTCATTTTACAGACCCTGGCTTTTGCCAACCCGCATGCGTCACCCCCTGTGCCATTTTCGCAGTTGGTTCTTCGTTGCTGCTCATTGAAGCAGATCACATAGCGATGCAGACGAAATCAAACGAATATTTCTTGGGGTCAAAAAACATGTGTGATGTTTGTGTGAGACACCTCTCTGTGGATCTTTGGAGGTCAAGAAAGGTTCAGACAGCAACGCTAGGACAATCCAAAACATCTCAATAATTAACAATATATATATATGTATAATATATATATAGATATATTTCGATGTGTAATCGATATATGAACATATAAGATGATCTATGATATATTTTTGATAATATCAAGATATAACACGTATGTCATGGATCCCTCATTTTTATCGACATGTTCAACATGCTGTTTCATTCTATGAATTCTTTTTTGGGGGGTCAGCACCTGCCATTTTATAGTCAGAAGGCTTTTTTCTGTTAATTTCTGGGCTCTGGTTAGAGGCCACCATGTTCAAATTATAGTGCCTCAGGGGGTTTGGCACCTTCAATTTATAGACCCCCAAGGGGGTTGTACCCCACCGTTTTATACTATAAAATGGCTGGTAGGACCCCCCCCCTGAAAAGTAACCTCCATATTTATACATATCATACCAACCTGCACAAGTGATTTTCGATCGGGAAGAATTAGTTATATTAGTTTATTAGCCAATAATCAATGAACTAGGTTCGGTTTCAAATTTCCGATTCAGCCTGAATCAACCGTTATAACTTGGGAACGTTCCAATAATCCCCATATATATGACCATTTCCATGTGACGAAGCAGTTTTGTCCGACAAGCAATCCCCAAAGTTTCTCAGGTTTTCTCAGATTAGTGAATTATCATAATAATCTACAACCATGTGTGCTTGTCGTTATTTCAAGTGGTAGTGTTACTGAATCGTGTATCATCACTATTTTTTTAGTTTTACCCAGCTACAGACGCCAATGATAGTAACAAAGTTGATGATGATTAGTGGCATCTTGGTGATACCCGGCTGGTTTTACATCATTGATCATGAGTCATCACTAAGCCATCATTACCATGAAAATCAGCATGTTGCAGTATTATACCAGTTGGCTCCAATGATATCATGTATACAACAGTTGCATACTCATAGCAACCATTGCCATCAATAACCGTCGCATTACAATACCCGTTGCTGTTGCATGCTGTTGCCATTCCTATTGCCATTATCGTGACCATCGTTACAACCATATTATATCTGGTTGGTGGTTTGGAACATTCTTTTTCCATATATTGGGAATAATAATCCCAACTGACTAATAATTTTCAGAGGGGTTGAAGCCACCAACCAGATATGCCAGTTGCTAAAAAAGCCCAGTTGGCTATACCTGTTCATCCCTTCCCCTGCAAAGCCCAGTTGCACCATTGTTTAATGGGGGGAGAAAGACACAGATGGCTGGCGTTGGACCAAAAATATGCACACGTCACAGTGAAAATCATTAGAATCATATAAAGTCCCAGGTGCTTATACCTCGTAATTATAGAAGGCATATACCAGTTGGTTTTTGCCATCCCAGTTGATTAAAGGTAATGCTATATAATAATAATGAAAACTAATTGTTTTGCCTAATCTATCATCACTATTGTTGGTTTTAGCCGGTTTAATACTATACCTATGAGATGCCCATACAAAATCGTTAGAAAATTATTAGGGTCCCAGTTGCTCACACCTATTGTACCATGGGGGAAACGTTTTCATAGATGTGGAATCTTTATGGTTTCCCTACGAAAATGATCTACAACTGGTGGGTTTTCCACATCTTTTTGTATGCGTACAGGAGGGTGCCCAGACTTATAATATACACTAATATACTTATCAACAATTGCAATACAATATCACAAGACAAAAAATCATTCGAATCATTTTGAATCCCAGTTGAAGTTATACCTGTTATATACTTTTTATATACCCAGCTGGGTTGTACGGTTATACCTATACCACTAATCATACTATTCCTCCCATCATAGCCATTATATACCTATTATATACCCATGATATACCTGTTACATACCTATTTCCTACTCATAGGTAACATTTCATATGCCCATAGAATATACCTATCTAATATACCTATGGTATGATTATAACATATAGTATGAGTATGATACGTACAATGGCATGTTATATACCTGCTATATATACATAAATACATACCCATCATATACAACATGTTAACAACTATAAAACCATCCTTTTTTCGATGATGACATCATATACCCATGATATACCCTTGAAATAGCTGTTATGATATACCCATACTTTATACTCATTATGTACATGTTATAAAATTACCTATGATACCCTATACCTATACCACTAATCATGCTATTCCTCCCATCATAGCCATTATATACCTATGATATACCCATGATATACCTATGATATTTCATACCCATAGCCGTGCTATTCCTCCACTCAATGGATTGGTTTTCACGGGAAAATCTTAACCAGAAACCACGAAGATTTTCCCATGAAGATCATGGGGTTTTCCGGGTTTTCCTACAGATTTTCCCGTCAAAACCAATCCATTGATCCACTTTCTTGAACTCGCCCAAGGAAGGTGGAGGTCAATATCCTGGCCGAGGGCGCGGACGGCACCAGCGAGATGAAGGTCACCGTGTCCGGCGCCCCAGGGGGTTTTATGGCAGGTGGCGCCTTCAGGTCGGTGGAGGTTGGTGGATGTTTCCGAAAACATATAGAAAACTATGGAAAACCGATAGAAAACCATAGAAAACCATGGAAAAACCATGGAAAACCATGAAAAACCTTTGGTTTAGGGGTGAATTTGTTAGTTTTTGTTTGGATTTCCGAGAATTTTTTGGGGGAAAATAGTTGGACGAATGGTTGGATGACTATGGATTTAATGATGTTGTTGGGATGTCGGAAAGATTGGTTGGACTTGGAAGAATTCGAGTTAATCTAGTACAGTATGATCCTATTGGGTAAATGACTGACTGGGATAAATATAAAGTATGTTCAAAGAATTATGTTTGAAGAAGAAATGCGAATCTGCTGTGGGAATATCTGGTGGGACAATTGATTGAGTAGTTATTCACCACTGGCGACATCACAGCAATTGTTTGAGAAAGTGTTCACAGAACAAATAGGAATAGTAGGAAACCAATGGGAATGCAACGGAATATCATGAACATTTATATAGATGTGGGCAGTATAATTGGATATATACATATTATATATATATATATATATATTTATGGGAACTTTGTTGTCATTTTTATGGTACATGTCAGGGTTTATGCAGAAAAAATGGATTTAAGAAGAACAACGTTTGACAACCGTCACAACAACTGGAAGTTTCGGAAACTTGAAGCCAATGGTAAACCACGCCTCATGATACCCAACCTTTACCATTGGGGGAATTGGGATCCTAGCCATGGGTTTGCTTAGAGAATCATCATCTTGCCTGTGGAAAGCCTTTCCCCCATTTTCAGATATGCCCAAATATACAGCGTATGGTTTTATATGTATACAATTTCTCTATATATATATGCGTGTGTAGTGTAATGTAATGTAATGTACTGCAATGTTATGTTATGTTATGTTATGTTATGTATGTATTATGTATATCCCACACACTACTTGAAAGCGTATCCATGTCCATCAGAGAGTGCTCAAGCAAAACCCCCGGCAGGCGAAGGTCCATGGCCCTGAAAAGGCTGATGCAGGCGGTGGAAAGTTGTAGATCATCCTTGAGAAATTTTCGTTCTTTTTCTCAACGTGTACCATCTGATTATGACTAACCATTTTCTAGCTGGGTAAATCCACTATTTCTATGGTCATGGCTTCAATAGCTATTTTGACATAAGCAGAGGGTACATACCTATGTCCATCTGGTTATGACATTCACAGTTTGCCATGGAGAGATCCACCATTTTTAAGAACGGTAAACCCAGGTGAACCATCTATAAATCTATGGGCCATCGAAAAACCATGGCGAACTGTGAATGTCATACCCAGAGGGTAAACGGTTTACCCCAAGCTATTTAAAGAAATGACACCTGGGACTGATGGGGAATCATCATCTAGAATTGTGGCATCCTGAGATTGACGGCATGGACCCTTGTCCGCCCGTAAAATGAGGAAAATTACACACTTTTTGTGGCGTTTCACAAGCAATCAGTGAGAATATGTGGGGAATATTCAAGTGCACATATATCAACCAAAGTAAACTTAGTGGTGACGTTTACTGTTTTCTTTGGCCATGAGCAAGGGCGTGCAATACCAAACTAGAAGTTGTATATGTGCAGTGTACTTGGCATTTAAGATTCGCTAGTTCATGGTTTTGGCATATAGTTCATAGATAATTATACATGTGCTTTGAATATTTGGTGGCAGATGTTTGAAATACTATATGTTTTATAATGTGGTTACAATCACAAACCATTCCGCAGTCATCACCATTTTTATATGTGGTGTTTACCATTCCTGGCCTAGGGGCTATAATCCCCATGGATGCTGAAACAATGGGGAAATCATCGAACGAAATACGGATGAAATATGGATCATTTCTTATGGAAATATGACATATTCCATAAATATCATATGGACATAATATGGAATATTCTAATATTTATGTGGAAATCATCATATAATCATCCATGGGAATAATGATTCAAAAAAATGAAGAATATGGATGCCTTGAAACACCAGAGCTCTGAGTTCAACGACAAAAAGTGATTACAATGATGAAACATTGCTTTCCCTTTCCCCCAAAAAGAAGGCCATGCCGCAATTGACGCGGACATCTCGTCAATTGCGGCATCGCCTTCATTTTGGGTTCGGGCGTTGCCCACATGAAACCTTACAGAATCCTTCCGGATACTTCGAACTATCTATGTCATTCTATGTCGCCTCATCCAAATGCCACCCTATGCCAGCATTTTTTGCCCAATGTTCTTGATGTGCGATTGTCATGCGATTGTCTTGTTTTCCAAAAAATTGAAAACCACCGTTTAAGGAATCTACAGGGAACATTCTACACTATTTTACTCATGAGTTGACGCTTTGGCTTAGTCTTGGCATGCTATGTTGAAATCTCGAAGTCGCAGGTGTTGAAAACCATTGTTGGATTAGGTGGTGAAAAACGATGGTTTTCCTGTCATGTTTCTATTATCAAGCCATTGTGCTGATTTCTCATACCAGAAAATCCGAGATGTCCCATATTTCTCCCAAAAAATCCCATGAAATCGCCCATTTTGCCAGTGGCTTAACGGATATGGCTCGCAAGGCCTGGTGCGACCATCACGAGCTGCCATTGGAAGAGGCGGACTTTCTGTTAGGCAGCTGGGTGCTAAAGTACGAGGACCGTGCGGTCGTTTATCCCCTCGGGTTTGTGGGCTGATGATGGCTGATGCCATTTGGAAATATTGGGACCAATGAAAAATGGCGGTTTAATGGGACTTAATGAGGATTTATAGGGACTGCTATGGGTAACGTTTACAAAAAGATGTGGAATGTCGACAACCCATGGTTTCTCCTAGGAAAAGGATCTCGAAAAGGTGGATTGTCCATTTTTGTAACTTTACAGGATGATAACCACTTTTAAAAAATGATATCATGATGATACAACTGATAAATGATTGCTAATAGCTAAGTCTAATGGGTTATGCATGGTTATTCTGTACCTGGTCTATTGCTGTTTAATTATTGGGATTGGTATGACACGTTCTGACCTACCATTGGGATACCTATCAACCAGTATGGATATGAATGTGTTTGATGGCTCAATCTGACTATGTGTCCTCTTCATATGTCGACATTGAATCCGAGAATCAGAAGGATGAATATACGACACGGCGACATTGCTTTCCTGCGTGGACACCAGTCCATTGAAGAATTGAAAACGACCACGAACCACGGTGAATGTTTTTCAGCGATGATCGCTGGAACCAGAAATTGGTTTATTATTATTGTTTCATGCTGCCTTTTTGTTCCTCGGGGATCTAAGGTACCGTTTCACCATGTTTAACCAATGTTTTTACCCGTCTAAATGCCGGTCAAACCCCATGACTTTTCGATATTTGACCAAGAAGTAGAGTGGAGGTTTTTGAAACCCAACCATTGGTGGAATCTGGCAGATAAGACATGATAAGACTGTTTTTTTTGCTCGGTTAACTTCTAGTTCTATGGGTTAGGTCCTTCTTTCATATGATTTCCATATTATTTCTATGTGCTCAATCCCTATGTTAATTGGATAAATTCCAGTTGTTGAATCCGTATTTAAAATATTTTTATGCGGGTGAACTGTATTTCTTCAATGGGAAAAACGCTGTGGGAAACCCCATCATATCCTATCGTAGTATATCATATATCATTGCATCCCCTTGTGCTTGTTGGGTTATATCAGTTTTCTCCCCATTATTGTTGGTTACTCTCTCTTCCCATTACAGGGTTCGGTAATCTTCATGTATATTCATGTATACTCCCCATACGGATTGGATTATCTCCATGACAATGTTGAATTATATACCCTCTGGTAAACAAACATAACTATGGGAAATCACCATGTTTCATGGGTAAATCAACTATTTCTATGGCCATTTTCAATAGCAATGTTAAATTACGAGAGGGTACATATAGCTTATATCACCATTATTGTTGGTTATGTCATGTTCCCCTATCCCAACTTGTGGAGATCAGATCATCCCATGGTTCTGTATAGTAAATACCTATTTAGATATCCATCAATAGCCACTACAACGGTTTATCCATTAGTGCTCATATCACACACACACATATATATATACTATATATATACTATATATGTACTATATATATATACTATATATGTACTATATATATACTATATATATACTATATATATACTATATATATACTATATATATACTATATATATACTATATATATACTATATATACTATATATATACTATATATATACTATATATATACTATATATATACTATATATATACTATGTATATATACTATATATATACTATATATATATATACTATATATATATACTATATATATACACTATATATATATATACTATATATATACTATATATATATATATACTATATATATATGCTATATATATACTATATATATGCTATATATAGTATATATACTATATATATACTATATATAGTATATATATACTGTATATATACTATATATATATACACCATATATATATATACTATATATATACTATATATATACACTATATATATATATACTATATATATGTATATATATATACTATTTATATACTGTATATATACTATATATATACTATATATATAAATATATTATATATATATATGTATATATATATACTATATATATACTATATATAATATATACTTATATATGTGTATATATATATAATCACCGTGAAGCAGATAGAATATCAAAAGGAATTTCCAATTTTTGCGAGGATGTATTGAAATATCCATATCCTATCACTCCATCATGACTCTGTATACTGAACCGTGGTCAAACATAGCAATGGGAAATCCCTTATAAATGATAAATGAAGGTTTCTAGCTGGGAACACTATATAAATATGTATGTATATATATACATTTTCCAGCAGCGGAAGGCTTATCCCTACAAGCTTATGGTTATCTCATGTTGTCTCCACCTTTTCGCCACGTCCAGGACACCTTAGACTCACTGGGCTGCGGCGACAACGTCGAGGTCAAGGCCGTGCCCAAGGGCGACACCGGCGACGCGGCAGCGGCGAGCGCCGCGGACATGGCGAGGCCCAAGGCGAGCAGCTGGAAATCCCCAAAGTAAAGGGAAAATGGGGTGAATATAGTGAAAAACTATCAAAAATGAGAATTTTCAATGTGTAAATCCACTATAATTATGTATCTAATCATCAATTATGGAGACTGGTTACTGTTGATAACTTATTCTTGGAAAAAATGATGATCATCAACTACCATTGTCCCCATTTTTTCCCCTATATCTTCATCATTTACCCTCCCGTAAATTAACATAGCTATTGAACATGGCCATTTATAGTGGATTTATCCATTAAAAATTGTGATTTTCCATTGTTATGTGAGTTTACCAGAGGATAGTGAAAAATTATCCATAAATGGAGGGAATCATCTATAAATCATCTATAATGAGTTATAGCTGGGGAAATCATCTATAGATGGAATAATATGGTAGAAATCTCATGGAAAGATTATGGACATATAATGGGATGATGGGTAGTGTATCCTCCAGGAAACTAAGAGTTTGCCGTGGAAAATCACAATGTTTAACAGCCAAATCATCGAAGGAAACACATTCTTTCTATGTGATTCCAAAAGACCTTGTATCCGAAGAAGGTCCAGTCCAAAAGGTTGGTAGGTCAGTTTTCTGTGCTAAACCACCAATATTTTATACCGAATTGTTGCTTGCAATCGTAAGTAGCAGCACCTACTTGAATGATTTAGACGGAAGACATCCCCACGTAAGCCTTTTTGGAAAAACATGCTAGTCCATTGTATCCCCATATATCCCGTATGACCATTTGTTTAATCACTTAATCACAATTTCTGATCGGCAAATCCCTATGATAGTCCAGCATGCCGAACATTTGGCAGTAAAAGAACAATACATTCCTCCATCCACTTTCTTTAAGCTCCATTGCTTTAAGCCATGTACCCTCTGGTAAACTAACATAACTATGGAAAAAAAACATTTTTTCATGGGTAAATCCACTATAAATGGCCATTTTCAATAGCTATGGTAGTTTACCAGAGGGTATTTCATAAGTTTTCCTTGAAAAAATACAAACTACTTCTATTATAGCAGCCCCAAAAAAGATAGAAAAGTGGAAACCCTGAAGCATCATCCATACCATCCTGGAAACACTGTGTGAAGGTTCCTGAAATCTGGGGTGCTATTCCTTTAGATCCCAATATTCCGAGAAATTGTGCCAAAAAAACATTCTGCCAATTCTGCCCCTACAAAAATGGCTGATCCCTTCCTTTTTAATAATCCCATCCCCCGATTCATAGAAAGAACAACCCCATTCTATGGTCTCCAAATGTCCCAAATACCTGGTTTCATCACTAAACCATGGTTTCTGGAGGGTCTCGAATATGGACGGAAAGGTAAATTTTCACGGTCAGGAAGAGTCATCAATGGATATAACATGATCATACATGATCTAACTACAAATATACGATATAGAATGTTACAATATTAAATTGTTATTTACCCTCTGGTAATTTAACATAGCTATTGAAAATGGTTCATTTATAAAGTTGATTTACCTATTAAAGATGGTGGATCTTTCCAGTTCGCTATATTAGTTTACCAGAGGACAGTGGAAAATCATCCATAAATGTAGGGAATCATCTATAAATCATCCATATATTGAGAATAATAATCCCAACTGACTTTCATATTTTTCAGAGGGGGAGGTATACCACCATCCAGATGATATATTATAATATTATAACTAACTAGTGTTCTTATGTTCTGTTCCAAAGATGTTGAACATACATACATGATCATACATGATCTAACCATAATGTACTATAATATTGTAATATTATGAAATAATGACAATTAACATAATATTATAATCATCTACAAGCATCTATAATCATCTATAATCATCTATAATATCTATAATCATCATCTATAAATAATCTATAAATCAGCTTTAAATCATCTATAATTCATGGTGATTTTCAATAGTTATGTAAACGTTTACCAGAGGATAGTGGAAAATCATCCATAAATGGAGGGAATCATCTATAAATGTACTATAAATGTACTATAAATGTACTATAATATTATGATATATCAATCGCACATAAAAAAGTACATTATAGATAACTATTAACTATATTAACTATAGATATAGTACTATAATAGTTAATTATACTATAATTTTATAATCATCTATAATCATCTATAATCATATTGTAATCATCTATAAAATCTATAAATCATCTATAATTCATGGTGATTTTCATTGTTGTTAATGATAATTAACTATGGAATCTTAACCCCGAGCCCAGCCAGGCCAAGGCGGTGGCCAAGCCACCGAGGTCTGCTCGCTCCGCTCGCGGGCGCGGAGCCAATCGAGGCCAGGGCGAGTTGAAACGTGGCCTTTTCACGTGGCAAAAACCGGGGAAAACGCGGTGAAAACCAGGAAAAATCCACATATGATGATACACAATATAGATGGTTACATTAAGAACATTGATGATGTCAATTAACCATCAATGTTCATATAAGTATTTCATATCAGAACATTGATGATACCCTCTGGTAAATTAACTTGTTGACCCTGATTTTATCACCAATTTTTAGAGGAAACTAATCTTCCAACCCCGATGACTACCAGGGTCTATGTCAATTTACTGGAGGGTAAGTGGTTTAAGCTGTTGAAACATACAAACAAAATGGATTTGATCATCAAAAACATTGGAGTTTGAGATGGTTAGATCTGATTTGATCAGAAACTCTTTTGGTGATGGGGACTTTTTCACCAGCAAGAAGAGTTATTTCACTAGCGACCAACAATTGGGATGCAATAGTAAAAACAAAGATTGAACATACAAAAAAAAAGTTAATTGGACATGATTTAAGCTCCAAAAAAACACATTAAACATGATTTCCATTGCACCTAATAACTCCCCCAAACAACGATGGAATTTTGGATTACCGTCGATGTCCAGCCCAAAAAACACTTGGGATGTCACCGGCGGCACTCTGGATTGATCAGTTCAACTTAAGGCCACGCCGGGATTGGGATTTACCATGGG